AACCTGCGTTTGAAACAGAAAAAGTTGGCTGACCTGCTGGAAGTGGCTGAGTGGTCCTCCCAACAGATGTCAGGGTAGTTGAAGTCACCCATGACAATCACGTCTCTAGTGCAAGCTGCCTCAGTCAGCGCTCCAGAGAATGCCTGATCACACTTCTCCTCTTGGGAGGGAGGCCTGTAGTAGACTCCTACCATCAAGTCTCCCTCTCCTGGTTCCCCTTGTATCCTGACCCAAAGGGACTCAAGGGACCCTTCCCTGTTGTCAAACGTGACCTGTAGGGAGGAGTGCTGTTCTTTCACATAGAGGGGCACACCTTTTCCCTTCTTTCCGACCTGATCCTTCCAGTAAAGCCTGTAGCCCTCATTGTTCACTGTCCAATTGTGTGCATCATCCCACCAGGTCTCCGTCAACCCAATCAGATCAAATTCCTCTTCAACCAGAAGGAGGGCTGGTTCCTCCTGTTCGTTTACCATAGTTCTGGCATTCCCATAAAGGCACCTGAGTTCCCTGCTGGTTGCCTCAGGTTTTCTGTCACGCCACCTGTTAGTACTTATCTGGACGTCCATGGCTTGAACGCCCTCCCCTGTGTCATTGCGGCTAGAGGATTTGAGCACAGCAGTGGAATCTTCTCCCCAGCCCCTGGATGTGCCTAGTTTAAAGCCCTCCTCAACAAGTTGGTGATTCTCATAACGAAGAGCTTCTTCCCTCTGCCTATGAGATTAATACTATCCCTTGCATGTCGACCGCTGTAATTAAACTGCGCATCAAGGTCAAGGTGTCCAAAGCCCACACAGTGACACCATCTCCGAAGCCTTTGGTTGACCTCCTTCATGCACTCCTCCCTCCAATGGCCACAGCCCCTGACTGGGAGGATTGAGGAGAAGATCACCTCTGCTCCTAAGGTCCTTCACTCCCATGGTTTTGTAATCTTTCATGATCCTCCCAGGGCTACTTCATGCCGTATTGTTGGTGCCCATGTGAACAAGTAGCATGGGGTAGTGATCAGTAGGGCAGACCAGTTTAGGGATCCTTGCTATAACATCTCTGATCCTGGCTCCTAGAAGGTAGTAGACCTCTCGAGCAAAGGGGTCTGGATAACAAATGACTCCTTCTGTGTCCTTCAGCTAGGAGTCTCCTATGACTATCACGCTATGTTGTTTCCTTGCTTGGGTTGCTTGATCCTGTATGGATGCATCGACCACCAATGGTGTAAGGGCTTCATAGCTGTTGTGTAGGGTTATTGGTGGGACAACTGATGCATGTCATGGCTTAGGTCCTGATGTCACCAGTGTCCATCTGCTATTGGTTGGAGCATCTTGTTCAGTCCTGCGCTCCTGCCTGGTTTCCGTGGTCTCCTTGTGGCCTCCTCCTCCAGGTGCAGGGCCTCGCAATAGGCATCAATCTCTGCCTTGTGTTCTTTGATGGTCCGTAACCTGTCCACCTCCTCCTGTAGCTCCCTCACCTGGTCCTTCAGAGTCTCCAGCAGTGAGTACATCTGACAAGTGGGAGTGCTCATACTCAGAGTCTCCAGCAGTGAGTACATCTGACATTTGGGAGTGCTCATCCCCCTGATTCCAGCAGACATGCCAGGCAGCCATCACTGTCTGCTGTCAAGAGCTCTGTCTGCGTGAAGGCTGGGACCATAGGTTCTGCGTGGGTGGAGGCCTCCAAGGTACTGGGGGGGGGGGGGCTCAAAGGTGTGGGGGGGGGGGGGGAAGGGTAGTTCATCCAGACCAGGAAGCCTGGCAGTGCAGTGTGTATCTGTTATATTGCAGGGCAAGCTCTGGTCATGTGCCCCCCGCCAGGTGTTTGTATAAATGGGAGACCAGGTGGGTGTTATTGCCTCCACATGGTCCTCACCAGCTGCTACTGCTGCTGCTGAGGCTTGGCAAGCAGGTTCGAGCAGCTGCCTGTAGGGGGATCTCTTAGCTACCTGACTTCCTGCGCAGCCAGGGGGATTTCCCTGGGTCCCCGAGTCCCTAACTGGTGGTGGGAGGGTAGAGAGGGTTGGTCCCTCATCCCATTTACTTGATGTCCAGTGCCAGAGGACTGTCCTTGGCGTGGGGGGCTTCGGCTGCCTGGGGGTACAGCAGGCATGGGGTGAGCCATGCTGTGCGTGGGGCAACTGGGGGGGCACCTCAGGAGCGAGAGTGCCCACTGATAGCCCTTTTGCACTCCCTTCCATGCAAACTCCCACACTCACATGCCGGGCTGAGAGCATGCCTGTTTGTGCAGCTCCAGTTGCACGGGTCCCTGTGGGCTGGGCTAAGTAGGATCCAGGGGAGGGGGGGATGTGACTGTCCTTGGCTCCACTCAGCTGCCACCTCTAGCTAGTGCCCACCCACCGCAGGCCCCACTTACCTCCCGGCTCCACGCTGGGGGTCAGGTTAGTGTCTGCCGGGGGTCTTCGCTCTTACGGGGTGTGATGGGCTTGCACTTGTGCATCTCCCACCAAGAGCTGGTCCCAAGGTGCGTTAAATTTAGGAGCATGTAGCAAAGTCACATTAGTGCACATGCAGATGCGCTAATGTGCATTGACGTTGTTTGTGTTCATTGACACACACCATGTTAATGCACTTCAGTGCATCTACACATGCGCTAATGTGACTTTGCTATTCACACCTAAATTTGATACCTGCTTTATGCAAGTATCAAATTTAGGCTTATATAGCTTTAAATTGCCATGTTTAAGGTGTATTAAAGGGCACACACGTGTAGACACCCCCCTCCCCTTAATGTGCCTTAAAAATGGCAATTTTTAGGCTAAGTTTGCTTAAAAGAGGAGCATGTAGATGGGCCCAGTAAAGCTCAGGGTTTCGCTTTTCTAGACAAACGTAGCAATAGTCCATGTCCCCAAAAGTTTAGATTGCATTGCATCTAATTCAGTATAGTGTTTCCGTTATCAAAACTTATTTACCCGGTTTCACTCACTTCAGTGATGGCACACAAGAGCCTGTCTCAGTGCAGTGCTGGGAACCAAAAAAATAAGCCTGTAAACAAGTGAAATGTTTGAAGTGATGTTAAATTCTGTCCTGGCTATTACATGATTTGTTGTGATTTAGACTGATTAAAAAAATATATACATTTCTTCAAATGTGCTTTATCACTGACTTAATATTATCTGTTATAAGTAGAGAATGGAATATTTTTTAATTCATGTAAAGTCATTCAGAAGTGAATAGTTAATACGGAATTATATAGAGAAAAGGACTACCCAGTTCTTATATCTCTGTGTATACTCTTTTGTAATGTGTAAAAACAGAAATCTGAATAGAACTGATATCCACTCAACTTTATGGACTAATTCTGAATGCTTTACCATAAAATGAAGATGATAGGAGGTCTATTTCAGACCCTCTCAAATCTCTTGGTTCTGTCAGTTGAGGCGGTTGGAAAATGGGTCGGAAGGGTTGCAGAGCTTCTCATCTTAAAATGATGCCAGGATCTCTTTTTTTTTATTTGCTTATGTCTCCAGCATTGGACAGAATAGAAGGCTTTTATTTCTTTATCTTCTTATATCCGTGTAGTGTCTTTCCGCTTCTAATTAAAGGAAAAGAATAAATTGCTTGTAGAGGTTTTTGTAAATCTCATGACCCATAAATACTTGGCTCAGTGCCTCCTACATAATGTCATCTTTAACCTACCAGAATGCAGCTGCATTTGATTACTTATAAAATGTTAGTTGATTGAATAAGAGAATATTATTTGGACAGACAATGCCTTGTGCTTGGCATTTTCAGTTACTTCCTCCACCGCACCCCCTTTTATCCTCTCCATTATACTGTCTGCCTCTAGAAACTCAAATACAGCTACTCATTTTAACTTCTTCATTGGGGTACCTGCCTGGACTACTTTATGTAGAAACAATGAGAAATGTTCCAGACAGCAAATTTCTATTTATGACCGTCTAAAATATCGAGCAGTGCTGCATCTTAAAATAGTGCTGAGCAAGAAACTGCAAGGAGTTTTTCTTCATGGTCAAATAAAAAAAAGTGTGTTTTTTTTTTTTTTTTTTTTTTTTTTCTGCTTGTCAAGTGGCATCATAATATTGAGTATATCTCAGGAGACAGAAGCTTGTTCTGTCGTACTTTGTTTGCTGAGTTTTTTTACCCTTGTTATGGTAGTGTGTGTTTCTATCCAGTTGATTTTCTTGCAGCCCAGATATTTTCCTTTGGAATTTTTGGTTTGCACTGTGGTATAGATGAGCCGCCATTTCCCATATGCTCTGATTGCCAAACTTTGTTTGCACTACTCCATCAGAAATACTGTCTGAGAATCTCTTCTGACAACTGAATGATAATTTTAATCCATCTTCATAGTGAAACAGACCAGTCTCTATTGTGGAGTAAGTAATGATTAGAAATTACATAGTTGACATTTAAACACTACGCTTTGAAATTACTGATTTTTTTTTTTTTTTAATGCTAGATTTTTTTCTATTTGAAGAAATGGATTGCAGGCTTGTAAATGAATTGGAATATTATGTAGCTTTTATTATACATAGATACTTTGAACAAAGATCCTTATTTGCAGAATTTCTCAAGACAAAGTCTGCATATGAGACATGTGTTTCATTTCCCCTTTTGCTTGCAGATGTGACATTTAAAATCTTGAGTATGCACAAGACCCCTCTTTTTAAACACCTTTGATTAAAAGAAAGCTAGAATGCTAGTACAAGTGTTATATTCTAAGTCTACTTTTATGCAAGTATAAAATCCTCTTTAGAAAGCTTTTTTAGGAAATGATAAATCTCTGATTAAATCTCCATTTTAAAACAAATTGCAGTTATGTTCAAATCCAGATAGTAGAGAAGAGCTCGTTACTGGAGGCACTTTGTTCTTGTTCTCAGGAAAAATGCCTTTCCATTGGCTACAGAGTCAAAGATTTAGCTCTAAATCTTTTTGAAACTTTCATCACAAGGTATTTAAATTTTAATTCGCTGATGCTTTCACTGAAATGGCATTGGTTAAATATCCTCTGTTTATTTTTTGCTCTTTCAGGTGCAGTGGCAAGCACAGAAGTAAAAATGAAATTACAAGAGTTTGTCTTGAATAAAAAGAAGGCTTTGGCACACCGGAATCTCAACCATTGCATTTCCAGTGATCCCCGCTTCTGGTAGGGGTAAGTGGTACTGGGCTTGTCATCTTGATTCAGCCAGTGCCATCTTTGTTTACAATTACTAGAG